GTTGCTCTACTTAGACTCTCTCCATATGGAACCCCCGAATTAATAAAAAATACATGCGCATTCATGAATGCATTCGTAGATAACGATGTTATCATAAATTGGTCTCAATGGAAACTGTTCATCGCGAAGGATAACCCCTCGCAAACCACACACAATAGTAAAGGTGGAAATTGCGGACCACATGTACGTACATGGGCCCACATAGTGTGTACAGGAGCACGAAAACCCTTCTTAGAAAAAGATATGATTCATGTCAGAAGAAACATAACACACGCACTTATGTTCCATGTGGTTGATGAAAAGAACGACAACCAAAGAGCCAAATTGAGGAAATATTTATTTCAACCACAGGAAACGTACCAAAAACCCGAAGGCACAAATCCGATACCGATCATACGGAAACTGCCGGAAAAATTCAAAACAACGCTCGATTTTTGCAGTTCACTGTTTGAAATTTAATAATAATGTCTAGTTTTTAAGCGATACCTACAGTATGGTATCAAAGAGTATAAACAAAAAAGAAAAAAAGAAAAAAAATACAAAAGATAAAAGCCAAAAAAAAATTAAAAAATTTTAAAAAAAATAATATACGAGAATATATATTTAATCAGCATGAAAGCATCACATTACAGATTACTCGTAAAAAAAAGAAGCCAGAAAATCGGAACCTCCACGTGGTTGGCTCTGGGTCACGCTAAAACCGAAACACAAATTGTAGTTCTTATTTCCGAAAATGTAACAGTTTACTAAACCTCCTTTGATAGGGCTGCGATTTTTCCCCTTGACGTAAATGCGGTTTTTTTTAGTAAAAATGCGGTAATTCATATTTTCGAAAATGTTACAATTTTCGAACCCTTTCAAAAATCATCTCAGTCAATTCTGCATGAAAGGAAGTAAATTTTGTGCAAGTTTGAAAGGGCTGCGATTTTTCCCCTTGACGTAAATGCGGTTTTTTGAGTAAAAAATGTCGTAATTCTTATTTTCGAAAATGTTACAATTTTCGAACCCTTTCAAAAATCATCTCAGTCAATTCTGCATGAAAGGAAGTAAATTTTGTGAAAGTTTGAAAGGGCTGCGATTTTTCCCCTTGACGTAACTGCGCTCCAAGTATTCTTTTTTGAATTTTATTCATGAAGTTCAAATCTTCCTTCGTAGGCTTCGTTAATTGTTTTTTACTCGTTTGCGTGGTTAAATATAGTTTTTGAATTGGAAATATAATTTTTCTATCCTTTTTCAAACGGTCTTTACATTAATTGTCGCTAAAAATGTTACGAGGGGCCCTTAGCGTTCTACGCCAATGGATTTTCGCGTTGGCTGCTGGCGCGCGGCTGCCAACTTCAGCGTCGTATAAAATTATGCCAATAAAATATTAATATAAAAAGTTTTAATATATGGATATCTAGATATACATATTAATTTAATAAAAATACAAATTCTAATATTTTTACTCTTAACAAGCAACTTGAAGCCTTTAAAACAGGAGAGCAAGTTTATGCTTAGGATAAGTCCACTTAACGTTTGCAACGCTCGCGAGTATCATTTTATCCTTCTTGTCATCAAATATTAAATAAGGATGAGATAATATGCACGTTTGTTGCAAACGTTCAATAGAATTTTTATTAAATGGAAGTGCACCTATAAAGTATAATAACTTATGTATATCTAATATAAACTATGTAAACTATGCTTTATGTATCATTTATGTAAATAATCTATGAATCATCAAAGCCTATGTTCTTTATCTATTGGACTGTATAAAATTTCTATTTTCTTTATATACTTTTATTTATTAATATTAAAATCAAAAGGTAATTATTGAGAATTATTTCCTCATCTTAAATTTTAATAAAAATATACTTATTTGTCACTTAAAATGAGAGCATCTAGCAGAAAAACGTAACGATCAGCCTCAAGAAACTATAAGCGTTAAAGTTCGAGAGTTTAGAAATTAAAATATCTGTCGCATACTGACTAAAAAGTTAAAAATACACAAGATTCGCTATAGATTTACTGATTTTTGAATCACGAAATAATATTATTAATTTTAAAAATAAGAAGAAGGAGCATATACCACACGCTGGTTAAAAGTAGCGAAATTCTCGTATATTTAATACAACTAAAATTACATAATTATAAACGTTTCGGTCATTAATGTGACCATCTTCAGTATATAAAGAAAACTTATAATTTAATTCCCCTAATATATTTTAAATAAAACTAAGTGCTGGGGCACAACTTATCACATGTTTGTCAATTATTCTATAATATAAGATACTCATCAGTTATAATTTGTCAATTTTAAAGTCAATTCGCAAATAGAAATGGTGTCAAATTTAAAAGTGAATCGCATACAGATCATATCAAAACGTAACAGTATACAATATAATTTCCTTCATGTCCTTACAAATCGGATAATGAGTTTGTTAAAGTATTGGCATCGACCATGATTTGTTCTCAAATCCAAACTGTGGATCGAAACGTAAGAAAAATTGTACATTTACAATAAATCAAAGTTTTACACACATCAACATCCTGTGTACAAGACTCGATTTGGCACGTCTCTTCCTTTGATTATTATCAAACGAGTCATTGGTATCAAAATTTTATATAAATTTATCAATCAGAGAGACTTTACATAAAAATTTTGATGGTGCCTTTAAAACAGAATTGTACTATACAATATTTCAAAATTACATTTACATTGAATATTTATTATGTATTATTTATGTTAAATTGATATAAATTTTTTTATATAGATAATATAAACAATACAAAATATATAAATTATTATAAATTAATCTATACAAACAAATAATTAAGTTTTATGATTGTTAACATATCTGACTTTGGTATAATTATTTATCATTATTTATAAAATCGCTTTCTTCAAAATCGCTTTTAATATAAAGATACTTATTCAATACATTTTCACTCAAAAGAAAAACGTGATGATGTATCTTGCGGAACAAGTTAAAATTTGAGACTTTAGAGATAAAGATATCTGTTAACTTGATACAACGCTATGTATATGTACTTTAACATTAATTAATTCTTAAAAAGAAATATTCTCTGCTTTAAGTACACAAATGCACTACTTTAAGTATACAAATTTACTGCTATAAAAACACAAATTTACTGCTTTAAAAATAAAAATTATATAAAAAATTTGTACTTTAAGGCAGTGAATTTGTATTTTTAAAGTAGTGAATTTGTTTTTAAAGCAGAGAATAGTTTGTTATTTAAAATTTATATCTTTTTAATTTTTTTTTAAATATAGATTAAAGTTTAACATTTCTTTAAAATAAACGCTGTAACTATAAATTTAGTCTGTTTAAATTCCTATAAATTTTGAAAAATGTTACAAATGTTCCATATAAAGTATTATTTAATTTATTAATTAAAATTAATAATATTATTTCGTAATTCAAAAATCAGTAAATCTATAGCGAATCTTGTGTATTTTTAACTTTTTAGTCAGTATGCGACAGATATTTTAATTTCTAAACTCTCGAACTTTAACGCTTATAGTTTCTTGAGGCTGATCGTTACGTTTTTCTGCTAGATGCTCTCATTTTAAGTGACAAATAAGTATATTTTTATTAAAATTTAAGATGAGGAAATAATTCTCAATAATTACCTTTTGATTTTAATATTAATAAATAAAAGTATATAAAGAAAATAGAAATTTTATACAGTCCAATAGATAAAGAACATAGGCTTTGATGATTCATAGATTGTTTATATAAATGATACATAAAGCATAGTTTACATAGTTTATTAGATATACATAAGTTATTATACTTTATAGGTGCATTTCCATTTAATAAAAATTCTACTAAGTTGCTTGTTAAGAGTGAAAATATTAGAATTTGTATTTTTATTAAATTAATATGTATATCTAGATATCCATATATTAAAACTTTTTATATTAATATTTTATTGGCATAATTTTATATACAAGAATTTTGCTGTATAATTATATAGATGCAGTTGATAATACTTTTATTTTAGCCATTTAAGGAGAAGCTTAAACCCAAGAAGCATAAAACACAAACAAAGAAAGAAAATGTAATTGTAAAAGACACAAATTTTATTACTACAACTGCAGATCGATTATCTAAAATCATGCTACAAGAAGGACTGATAATTCTTGGTCGGATTTCTGAAGTATCAGAATATGATTTGATAGTATCTTTACCAGGTGGATTTCAAGGAAAAATACAAGCTACAAATCTCGGTCAATCTTACACGAATTTGTTGCAAGATATAATTAATGCAGGAGTTGTTCAGTCAAATGAATTCAAACCTTTACCAGATTTGTTTAATCCTGGTGATTATGTAACATGTTATGTGAAAAGTTTAAATTTTGAAGATAATTGGTTCTGTAGTTTATCTATAGAACCACAATTAATAAATCAGAATGTTTATGCTAGTTATTTTGCAAAAGATATGAAAGTAGTTTGCACTGTCAAAAGTATAGAGGATCATGGTTACATAATTGACATAGGTGTAGCTAATGCTGTAGCATTTCTTTGTACTGAAGATATCGATAAAGGAAAACAATATTGTAAATATATATAACTAATTTTATATAATTTAATATCATATCTATTATTAAATGTTTGCTAATACCATATATTATGTAGTTCCAGGTACTCAACTTTCGTGTGCTATCAAGAAAATAGCAAAAGTAGATTCTAGATTTATTATTAAATTATCAACTAAAAGAAAAAAGATTGATAATACCAAAGTATGACATAGCGTCTTTAGATGTTTTAACACCAGGAACAAAATTGTCGCTTTGTAATAAAGGTGCTTTCTAATGGCCTGCAAGTTAGGTTTGGGGAAAATAACGTTGGATATATAATCAAATTTATTTGAATAATCCTTTATCTACATATGTAAATAATATGGAAGTGATTGGCACATTATTATATATATTACCAACTGTGAAATTAGCATACTTTAGTTTGTTGACTGATGTACCTGAAAAGGATTACCTGTTCGTCGACACGTCAACGACTATTTTCCCGATTTAACACCTTATAAAATTCAAGATTCGATTGTACGTCATAATGACGGGAGTCGAATCTGACATTATGCCGATTTGTATGCTAAAGTCTGCATTCGAAATTCCAAAAAATAAGATTGTAACAGAATTTCTTAAAATATATAAATTAAAATAGATTTAATTCAGAAATAAAGAAACGAAGATTGAAATTATATACTTACATCTATTGATCTTTTAATTTCAGATTTTTTTCCTCCTCGAGGAAAATTTTCCAGTGTCATCTATAAAAATAGTTTAAATAATTATTATTTATAATTGATCACAAAAAATTATCATTAAATTGATTCTACATTGAGTTGGCCGATAGTTCTAAATCTTATCGATGAATATGGCCAACAATCAAATTGTACAACTTAATAACAAGATTACCAATTTTCTTAAGATTGACTAAATTCAACTTTATTCCTTCCCATTAATCAAACTAAACAATCTGCTGTGTAACTTGTAGATGCAAAAAATCATAGTTTCTAATCTATTTAGGTTAAGACTAATTAAAACTAATTAAGACTTAAGATTTCCAACTACTAATTCATGTAATTTTAGAATTATAATAACTAAGATCTGTAATGTATAATATAATATTTAAAAAATATTCTCACCTCAAGATGCTGAATTAATAATTATAAATTTGAAATATTTTTAGAAATATTTTATTGCAATTATATATATATATGTATGTATAATATGCTATGTTTAAATTTATCAAAAGATACGATAGTGTCTCGGCGTTAAGATATATAAGCGCAGCTTATCATATAAATTACCTTAGCTAATATTGGTAAAGATCAAATGGAGCGTGATCACCTCAAAAATCAATGAAATTATACTCATTCAACGATTTTTGTATAAAATGATAGAATCTGGTAGAAAAAAGTGTCGTTCTGCCCTGCAAACCGAAATATTAACCATTAAAGTTCACGACTACTTAGGTTAGGAAATCTATATCACACAATACTACCCACGCTGCCCGCTGCGATGCGAGCATGCGCTGTGATCTTATTTTCATACTCTGTGGCCACTGGCCACATGCGCATGCGTTTTCATAAGTACGCGCCCGAAAAAGAAAATAACGCGAAATTTGAAAAGTTAATTTGTTTTCTACTGTGGGTGCTTTCCGAAATTTGCTGATAATGCTCCCTCGTAAAAAAGTACTACTAGTGTCACTGTTGGTACGAGTAGTAATCAGTAGTAACACTGCTCGTGACTAGCATATATGTAATACTACTATATGGCTAGTGCCTATAAGAGGGAGTGAGAGGAAGCGGTCCCAGAACCACGGTGCGGGAATATATATTTCCCTCTCTTTCTAAGATTACTTTGAGTGTTGTGCGCATACGTTGGATTGATCGCATCCGCCAATAGGAAAATAGAGTGCGATCAGTGAGATGACGCGAACAGGTTATGCTCGTTAAGGTACTTTTTCATGCGCAGCACGCTGCAGTAGCAATTCGTTACTATTGGTTAAGAATTTTATGTAAGCTAGACGACGCACTTCCGGCGCAAAATACATTTTGCTGCAGTTCGTTGAAGTTGAACCGAACGAACAGCAAACAGCAAGCGGCAAAATCGAGAAAGCGTACAATATGTCCGTCGTTTCATTATGAAAATATTATTTATTGCAATAAATATTAGGAAAATAAACGAAAAATGGCTTCGGATAAGGTACGGATACATGTTCGTAAATTAGATCATTTTATACTTTATCACAAATTTGAAAATGTAAAGTGTAAAGTATAAAATGATCTAATTTACAAACATTCGTACCTTATCCGAAGCCATTCTTCGTTTATTTTCCTAATATTTATTGCAATAAATAATATTTTCATAATGAAACGACGGACATATTGTACGCTTTCTCGATTTTGCCGCTTGCTGCTTGCTGTTCGTTCGGTTCAACTTCAACGAACTGCGGCAAAATGTATTTTGTGCCGGAAGTGCGTCATCTAGCTTACATAAAATTCTTAACCAATAATAACGAATTGCTGCTGCAGCGTGCTGCGCATGAAAAAGCACCTTTA